GTGAACGGTTCTACTGGGTGAACTGCAAAGAAGATGTGAGGGCCTGGTGTAAGAAATGTGACATTTGCGCAGCCATTAATGGGCCACAAAAGCGTGGTAAAGCCCCTATGCGCCAGTACAATGTTGGTAGTCCCTTCGAACGAATAGCGATCGACGTGGCTGGTCCTTTCCCGGAGACGAACGATGGCAACAAATACATTGTGGTAGTAATGGATTACTTCAGCAAATGGGTCGAGGCCTACGCGTTGCCAAATCAAGAAGCGTCCACGATTGCTGATGCCCTTGTTAAAGAATGGATCTGCAGGTTTGGTGTTCCCATGGAGCTTCATTCAGATCAGGGAAGAAACTTTGAGTCCAATCTGTTCCAAGGCGTCTGTGAAGTCCTGAACATCCGCAAGACCAGGACGACTGCTCTACATCCACAATCCGATGGGATGGTTGAACGCATGAACAGAACTATCAACCGTTATCTGGCCAAAGTAGTCTCTGACCACCAAAGAGACTGGGACAAATTTCTTCACCTGTTCCTGTTGGCCTACCGTTCATCCGTCCAAGAATCTACAGGGCAAACTCCAGCCAGCATCGTTATGGGACGGGAAGTGCGCCTACCCTGTGATCTGAAATTTGGTTGCCGACCGGGAGAAGAAGTCGCCGGAGAAGATTATGTCCACACACTACGTCAAAGGATGGACGACATTCATCAGAGAGTCCGCCTAAATATTCAAAGTGCTAGTGACCGAATGAAGGAACACTACGACATTCAAGCTGAGCATGGAGGATACCAACCAGGGAAGTTGGTGTGGCTATATAACCCGCAGAGACGTCGTGGGTTATCTCCGAAGCTACAATCCTCGTGGGAAGGGCCATACGAAGTCATGGATAGAATTAATGACGTCGTATACCGTATCAGAAAATTGCCAAAAGGAAAACCGAGGGTAGTCCATTTCAACCGTTTGAGCCCCTACCAAGGCGAAATAGAAGATCGTGCTGGGACCGTGAGAACCTGCAGCTTTGATCCCCCTGATTCGGAGATGTCCTTTGACGATTTCATGGCCCGATACAACAGCAGTGAGAAGGCTCGCTATGGTGTAACCAAAGAAGATCAACGAGACCTCTTTTCCGTGCCTCCTGATTATTCGCTCGCTCATTGTGTGGCTCGAGATTTGCGGATGTCCAGAGGAATCGCTGCGACGTTCAATGAGAAGTTTGGGCGTGTCGGAGAACTACGCCGACAGGATCCAGAGGTTGGAAGCGTCTTGAGGCTAACCGACAATGCACATGGTCAAGCAAGGCACATCTTCTACCTGGTCACCAAGGAATGGTCCCCGAGTAAGCCGACTTATCTCAATCTATGGAAGACCCTGATTGAACTGAGAGAAGCCCTGCTAAACAACAACATTGCACGATTAGCCATTCCGAAGCTGGCGTGTGGACTCGATGGTTTGAGTTGGCGTACAATCCGGAACATGATTGAAGTCTTGTTCAGATTTACGGGAATCGAGATCCTCGTTTGCTGCTACAACCCAAAGCTGAGATCGGGAGAGAAAACTGTAGACTGCTATTTCTACCAGACTTCTCAATGTACCAGGGGCCAGCTTTGCAAATACCTTCATTCACCGTGTACATCTCAGGACGAGAGTACATCTCATGTACCTAAGAAGGGGGCAGTGTTGCGGACCTAACCTAACTATATGTTCCGCCCTCAGATGACCTTAACATCGCATTAAAGAATAGACACCGTAATGATTCATTCGTTCGAGAAGAATCGAGACCCACTAGAATGGACTAGTACATACGAGAACATTCGAAAACCTTCTCTATGCACCTAACGATCTATGGACTATTCTAGATTTCTTTGCTGTAGGTATAAAAGCCGGCGGCAGTGGCCTAGAGAGGGCAGTTATAAATATACCAGTGCATTTGACGCGCTAAAATTCAAAATAAATTCTTAGTTATAAATCGTTTGTAAATAGTTCTATAAGTCTTTTATCGTTATTGTTTTTGTTAATTAGTGTTAAATAAATAGTGTTTAAATAAATTGTGACTTTCTATCCACACGGAACCGACGAAAAACGTAACAATATGTTTTCGGTCACTTCCTGTTTCACTGAAAATTACTACAACTTTTGATTTTTAAATTGCACCCATGGTATTTCTCTATTAAACATTTTCGCTTAAAAAATCGTATTTTAAATTCCGATCTAGAATGCGATTGCTGTGTTAAAAATACTAATTTTTAATCAAAGTACCTTGGAAAAATACATTTGATCGTGTAATGTGTTTCATGTCTTGTCCTGGCTTGTTAAAAGATGCCCAAGCCGTGAATTTAATTATTAATCGTTTAATAATTTTATTAAATGGAACGAGGGTGGCTCATTAGTAGGGTTGTGGATTTCACCTGTCAATTTTTTCCGTCAATTGACCCGTCTATTGACCAAAATAATTTTAAAAGTACAATGAAACAAATAAAAACAAATTAATATTTTATTTCACATAATCATTGAAATAATATATAAATAAAGAATATTTTCTTTTTAAAATAAAAAAAAAATAAATTAAGTAATTAACAAAAACATATTTCTATTTTAACTTAATATAAACAGGGAACATTTCAAAGTTATTTTAAAAATACTCTTATATTCTAATTCAAAACAAACAATTAATTGACATAAGTAGACAGTGGTAAGTTCTCATCTTCGTCTTCATAGTTGATGTCATGGATGTCGATGTCTGAAGACGGACATGTCATATTCAGAAGATACATATACAGAACTTACATTGAGGTCAGTAACCCTTCCATTTTTGTTTATTATATTTAAATTATATTAACATAAACAAGTTTACCAGATCTTGTAGTGGTCAACCTGTTTCTTAATTTATTATGAACAGTTCCCCAAGTTGACAAGTTTCGTTCACAAGAAGCTGAGGAGGCCGGCATTCTTAGTAATTTTGCTGCAACATTGTGAAGCACTGATTTATTCTGCCAACTGTCCCACCAAGTTGATGGTGTAATATCTGACGCTGATGGTGTAATATCTGATGTTTTACATACTGATTTGATACTTTTTACGGCTGTCCATATTATTCGATTATTGAATGCATTTGATGCTGTTCTAAAATTTGATATCTCTCCAAGTATTTCAATTTCAGATTCATTGATACCAAGTTATACGATCAACGTAGTCGCGCGTTACAGTTCTTCTGGAGCTAGATTCTCTCCTTTATATCTAGAATCGAGTAAATATGGTGCATTATGCGTGTCGGTACAGGCCATATCAATTCTTATTACTGATGCAGTTGTTATTTTTTCCGATATTTTTATTGAGATTTTCCGAATCGCTAAGTATCGTATTCCTTGAAGACGGTTATAGGTAAATTGGACATTACAAATAATAATTATAAAATACCATATTATTATTAAATAATGATAGATAACATTCTACAATTATTGTAAGATGTTATTTAAGACATTTTGACCAAATTTGACTGGTCAAATAAGAAGTGGTCAATTGACAGTCAACTGACCAGCCCCAACACTACTCATTGGCATATTTAAAAAAGTATTTTTTTACAAATAGTTTTGTACCGCACACTTGATATTTCTAGTCAAATTGTTGTTGTGAACCGCAAACCAATATGCGAAAAATAAACCATATGCGAAAATGTCAAAAGTTGACATATGATATGTCATTCTATTCAGAATAGACTATATATAGTCATTCTATTCAGATCATTTTCTATCGAATAAAGTAAAAAAATACTGGGAGTACTATTTAAAAATCAAAAGTTATAGTCATTTCCGGTGAAACAAGAAGTGACCGAAAACAATTGAATACGTCAATCTATCCTAATTTATGTCATATACTAACATACCAAATCTCGTTTTTTTATCTGAAAACAAAAAAGTTATAGGTGTGAGCCCCCTTTGATAAACACCCGGTAAACAGGGTGTAAATAAAATTAAAAATAAGGGAGGCGATTGTTTTCTGAAAAATAAAATATGTTTTTATTTTTTTGTTTTGTTTTGCGTTCTCTTACAAAATTATTTACTTATACGGGGTGCATTAAAATCAAAATATAAATCTCAATTTGAATATCCACATTTAGCACCAAAGAGAATAATGTTAAATGTACAATTATCTTTGTCTTCACACTTCCATACCTTAGTGTCTTTAGTTTCAAACCTCCGGTTTATTCTTTAAACTGTTGACTTATTCAGCCGTTTAGCCATCAGTAAGTTATTCAGAAGTTGCAAAATTCATAATAATTTTATACAAAATTACTTTGTTTGATACATTCAAATTTTTGTAAACAAAATGTGACATCGACTTTGATAATGACATAATCACATTTTTGCTGGTATTTTAATTGTAGCTTTCTCTGGGCCGTATTACAAATTTTATTAATTTGAAGGTAGATTTTTAAAAATAACTTTTAAATGACTATTCCAAATGAAACGAAATTCTACACAAAAGTGCAACTTAACGCCTCTTCAAAAAAGTCTAATACAACTTTTGTATAAAATCATCTGGGGGGATAATATTTGACCTTTTCAAAATTAACATGGGATTTCCTATGTCCCGTGTTTCGATGCATCACACGATATACGGTATATGATCACTAGACAAATATTCCATTGGTAAATAAACTAGGTATCAATTATTTTTGCTTCCATTGCGATAATCGGTTACTTTTGGTCAAATATGTTGATTTTTTTACCTCAAATTGGCTGAAAATTGAGATACTTACGTAAAATTAAAAGAGAAACAACTTTTTCAAACAAAATTTTTCAAATTTCAGCCAATAAACTCATTTTTAGCCATTTATAATTATAACTGTCAACTTTGACAGATACCGGAGAGCAACAGGTTAAATTTTCCAACGAAGTAAAGAACGAAGTCAAATTTCACCTAAGACAATATTCTCCAAATCACATCTCGTTCAATTATCTTATTTTATTACCTGATTAAAATTTTGAAACAACATTGTTGGTTACTTACCTCGAAGCCATTCTTTTCCTTCTATCCAACCATCTTTGTTGCTCTTCATCTTCATTTTCACCAACGCCGAAGAAATTTGCCGTTTCCTTTTTAATATAGTTTTTAATCATTTCTTTTTTACTAAGGGATCTATTGAGCGGTGGTCTGCTCCTGAAAATATACAAGATTAAAAATAAAACTGAAAATAACTATAAAATTTGCATCATATCTTGCTTTGAGTATTTTTAGGAGATATAAATAGATATTTGCCCGATAATTGATATATTTTTTAAGGTGCCCGGTGGCGTAGAGGTACATGCTCTCGTCTACCAATCCCAAGGTGTGGGTTCGATTCCCACACCCGGCATTTCATCAGCCGACTATTTTTATTAAAATAAAAATAGTTTGGGTACCTAGGTCGACTCAGCCTTAAATGAGTACTTGGGATTGACAATCCTGAGGTAATAATAGGCGGTTGAAGCGTAGTGCTAGCCACATTACCTTCCTTTTGTATACCGAACGGCTCTAGTATAGCAAGCTGTACCTTGCTACTCCCAAGACGTTAAACACTATATACGGGAGCTATTATTATTATAAATAGATATTTCATTTTGTTTTAGATTTTCACTGCAAAATTCAACATCAATTTTGACATTGATATAAGTATATGAAATCCCGATTTAATAAATTCGAATTTTAATCACTTCAAATTCTACATTTTGAATAATTTGTACGTATTTGTTTTTGAGTTATGAGAGATACAAGATTACTAAATTAGACGAAAATTTAAAATAGCCCTGTCCTGGTTAAACAAACATAACAATCACAATATATATTCTCTATCAAAAGTTACAAAAAGTACACTAAAAATATAATATGATCTTTAAAAATCAAATATATTTCGTAGATCAGTAAACAAATTACTCCAAAAGAAAATGTATTTATTAAATACCAAACAATTCTCGAAATTAAGTACTAAATGGACAAAATTTCCCTACGTTCCTTACCCTCGTCCAATAATTCTTGGTGGTCGAAATATTTAAATGACTTAAAATTATGCTTCTTCAAAATTCGCCAAGCAGTTGTACGAAGTTTTTAAACAATTTTTTCAAGCATTCTTCACTTATAACAGAATATCTTTTGAAGAAGTAATTCATTTATTATTTCTCAATGATTCTGAATGAATATCTTATTAAAGACTAAAATTTTTTAATTTCAGTCTTTAATAACAATTCTTGTTGAAATTATTCTTTTTACATTTATATTCTTTTTCGTCATACTATATTGTTATATTATTATAACATAAGCAAAATCAGAATGGAAAAGATGCATATAACGTCCGCCGGACGTTATCATAACGGCCGGCGGCCGTTAAGTTTCTAAGGTAATCGTAACGTCTGTCACCTGCAACAATGACTATTTATTGTCAGTTGGACTTTTCAAAAATTGGGAAAATAGACCATAGCGAGATGTCGCGAGAAATTCCGTTGGAAATACAGGAGGAAGCGGCTGCGGCTACTCAAAATTTACTTCCGACTATAACCAGAGAGAGATATCAGCAGGAATATGACAATTTTTGAAGTGGCGGCAGGATAGAAGTATAAACAGCGTAAATGAAGCGGTATTGCTGGCTTATGCTAAAAGAATGTCTGAAATGTATTCTCCTACATCACTGTGGACAAAGATATCCATGCTGAAGCTTGCGTTGAGAGTATATGAAAACATCGACATATCAAGGTAAAAAGCCATTATATTCTTCGATATTTAATCATACTCATCTAAATTATATTTGTTCATAGATTTGGTAAACTGTTCATGTTTCTGAGGCGCAAAAACGAAGGTTATTCACCAAAAAGCCAAAGTTCTGTCGGAGAATGACATAAATAATTTTCTACTGGATGCCGATGATTACACCTGGTTACTCGAAAAATTGTATTGGTGCTTGGTATTCTTGGAGCTTGTAGGCGCAGCGAGCTTTGGTCACTCACAGTTGATGATTTCGAAGATTCGGAGAAAAATATTCTTGTCTCATTAAGAAATACTAAAAATAAGAAAGATAGGAAATTTCTTATTCCAAAAACGGGCCTTCCGTTTGATGCCTATGGTTTATACAAAAAATACATCAACCTGCGTCCTCGTAACTTTGACAATCCAAAATTTTTCATTGGTTACAAGAAAGGCAAGTGTGTTAAGCAAATCGTCGGTATACATACCATCGGGAGCGTACCGCAGAAAATTGCAAAATTTTGAACTTGGAGAATCAGAACGTTATACAGGGCATTCATTTCGTAGATCATCAGCAACCATGCTCGCCGAAAATGGTGGTGATTTACTATCGCTAAAGGAGCTAGGAGGATGGGAGTCTTCAACAGTGGCAGAAACTTACATAGAAAATCAGTTTCCAAAGAATGAAAATAACAAATCAACTTTTTTCATGATAGCTCCAAAAATAATGTGTCTTTAGTGGATACAAATATTTGCCATTCTTCAGTAGCATCATCTTCTTCTATAAAATCTGTAAATCCCTGGGAAGGATTACAGATTTCTAAGAACAACAAGTGCACTTTTAATTTCCATGTTCATTATCATGAAAAATGAATTTTAGTATAAGACATTATGTATTTTTATCCTTACTTGTGTTATTGTTCAATAAAATTTGTTATTAAATAGTAGTGTTTATTGCTCTAAAAAATCTGCAGTATGACGAAAAATCTAGAACGCAACACGGCCGATAACAAATAACGGCCTTGGCTGCTTATGATCCTCGGCTATCGCCTCGGATCACAAACTTCAGCCCGGCCGTTATTTGTTGTTTATCGGCCTTATTACGTTAATAACTATAAAGCTCCGCGCGCACTGAAGGGGTATCGGCGAGAGCGAGCGGCGCGAACGGCACGACCGGTCGGAAAGTCGATTGTAGCCGCGCACTGGAGTCGCACGATCGACGCGCGACGGTCGAGAGTACCGTCACCAGCATAAATTTGAGCATAGACGAGGAGAAGTTTATTCAACTTTAGTCAAATTCATTCGGCATTTCAAAAAATTATAAAGTATTATTACTATTTATATTTTTATATTTTATGCTTTATGATGGAAATTAATATTATTTAGGTCTTAACCAAACACACATTAATATATTTAGATCTTAACAAACTACATAAAATTAGTGAAATAGAGTGGAAGATGGGGATAAAATATACTACATGACTCTTAGCTTGACCGATTTTAACAAATTTGGTATCATTCAAAAGGGTTTAATTTGTTCTTTAAAGACAAAGCTAGAGAAAAATAGTCAAATAAAACTTCTATTTTTAGTTTTTTAATCTAAATAAGTGTCATTACAAACATTTATATATAGCTGTTATTTTAAGTTTTTAAAATCTTTGTTTTAAGTCAGTAGTAAATAAAACGAAACTTGTGTTTAGATTTTGTTTAATGATTGACGTTTCGACCAATTTTAATTCGGTCTTCTTCAGAATCTATAATATACGTATAAATGATGTCCTACATTTGTGGTAAGAAAAATTATATATTAAACACATTGTTAGTGATAAAATAGTATTGTATATTATAGATTCTGAAGAAGACCGAATTAAAATTGGTCGAAACGTCAATCATTAAACAAAATGTAAACACAAGTTTTGTTTTATTCACTACTGACTTAAAACCAAGATTTTAAAACCTTAAAATATAATAAAAAAGTCAAAGAAAATTAAAAAAAGAAAAAATATATAGTTTTTATTTTATAGTACCGTATGATCGAAAAGAAACGGCATCAGCGATGGCCATGAAATGAAGGTCGGTGTCATTTTATATGTAAATTTATATGGGAAATGTCATTTATCGTCATTTCCCATCCAACTGGACGCCGTTGTTTATCATACGGTAGAGATATGTACAAATATTTTATTTAAACATAAATATTATTTTCTCTATTTGTACCTTGTACGGAGCGATCAACATAGTAACATTATTTATCAGCTGTAATTACTAACGTCAAAACAAACAAAAAATTAAATAATATGATAAGTTTTTTGACGATATTTAAATTAGATTTCCATACTAATGTGAGATAATCAAAACGAGATGAGAAATAAATGGGTTTAATCGGAAGGTTTTCTAATTCAGTTATTGAATAAGTGTATTAAACAATATGGGTTACGTGCTTATAAGAATTTTTTATAAAAAACCGCATATTAAGTATGATATGGTCTCGTACACTTTCGATTAATAATTCATCGGAAATGTTTAATGTAAAACCGCTCCACTAAAAACAGTCGCCCGGCGTAGACTATTCGTCCCCCTCCCATGCATTCTCTGATTTCGCCTGATGGCGCCGATAGCTCGAATGGCGCCGATAGCTCGAAGAGCACCGATCTAATGCGGTGCGCGGGCTTACATTTATTTCAACGTAAACTGAAAATTACGTGCTGCTCGCTCGCGCCGATACCCATTCAGTGCGCGCCCTCCTTAATAACTCTTCTGACCAGAATCCCACTAAACTATTTTTTTCTTCAGTTGTATATTCATATTTTCAAATTATTTTTGGCAATTTGACACTGAGGACGGAATTCGCCGCCAAACTGACGTTGCCAAATTTATCACTTATAAAATAACTTAACAAACTAAACAAAAAAATATATTATTTTTATTTTCAGAACTATGATATAGAAATAAAAATCTATGTTTGAAACAAAAATACTTTGTAGCAACAAAAATAATGATATACCGGGTGCGTCTCAAAAGTGGCTCACCCCTAAAACTCTTTTATTTTTTTTCAGATAAAAAAACGAGATTTCGTATGTTAGTATATGCCATAAATTAGGATTCATTGACGTATTCAATTGTTTTTGGTCACTGCCTGTTTCACCGGAAATGACTACAACTTTTGATTTTTAAATGGCACCCTCGGTATTTTTTTACTTTATTCGAGATAAATTGACATTCTGAATAGAATGACATGTCATATGTCAAATTTTGACATTCTCGCTCAATATAAAATCGCATTTTAAATTTCAATCTAGAATGCCATGGCTGTGTTAAAAACACTAATTAATTTAATCAAGGATTCCTGGAAAAACAAATTAAAAACACTAATTCTTAATCAAGGAGTCTTGTCCTGGGCAGTTAGAAAATGCGTATTTTTAATCAAATCTCAATTTTTTCAAATGGAACGAGGGTGGCTAATTAGCATATTCGGAAAAAGCATTTTTTACGAATAATTTGATACCACACACTTGGTATTTCGAGTCCAAATTTCGTTACGAACCGCAAGTTATAATTTCAAATAAATCATATGCGAAAATGTCAAAAGTTGACATATGATATGTCATTCTATTCAGAATGTCATTTTGTATCGAATAAAGTAAAAAAAATATCGTGGGTGATATTTAAAAATCAAAAGTTGTAGTCATTTCTGGTGAAACAGTAAGTGACCGAAAACAATTGAATACGTCAATCAATCCTAATTTATGTCATATACTAACATACCAAATCTCATTTTTTTAACTAAAAAAATAAAAAAAGTTATAGGGGTGAGCCACTTTTGAGACGCACCCGGTATAGAAGGGGCATTAAAAATATGAAAGTATATTATTAAATTAAACGATCAATTTGCTATTGCCGGACTATTTTTGTGTCTTCATATTTATAAACATTGACTGCTGAAAACGAGAACATCTTGGACACAAATTGCAAAAAAATGTTTCGAAACATTTCCTTTAAAAGTTTTGATTCCGCATCGAAACATTTCAGGAAACCGCTAGTGCCACCACATTGGAAACACATGTAATAAAGCCATATAAAATAGGTTTCAAAAATGTTTCCTATTTGTGGCATACCGTTTCCATTTTGTGTCAAGAAACAGACACAATTATTAGAAACATTACCTAAAATGTGTCCAAAAATGCTACTTGAGGAAGCCTAGTTGCAACAGAAATAAAGAAAAACTATAAAATACCTTGGTGTTCTCTCGCTTTGGCTGTAATTAACCCTCTTTCCAGCGGGTCTATCTGATGCCTCGCTCCTTTGTAATCCAGCTCGATTGTCTTGACCGATTCTTGAATGTTCGCCAGAAGAGGTCGGCATGGATATTGCTCTCTGGACTGAAATTCCACACTTGCCCGATGATGACGGTAAATTTTGAGTAGGAATTTGAGATGTTTGGCTACCACTTGCCGATAAAGGTAGCGCTTGTATATTTGGTATGTTGGAGGTAGAAGCATGAGCGATTTGAACATTTCGGTTTGTCGGTACGTTTACTTGAGGTGTTAAGGTTTGATTCGTCGATACAATGGTTTGGTTGAGACGTTGTCTGGGAGTAGAGTTATCTCTTCGATCCTCACTCGATCCACTTAAACTAATACCCGATTGTTCCGTTCCCGAACTTGATAATACAGTAGTTGGAGTTAAGGACCTTTGATTCGTCGGTGTCAGACTTCTACTAGTTTGAACATGACGCGGCGTCAGTTGAGAAGAACTCTGAGATTGATCGCTTGAGATAGAGTGATGTTGCGGTATTGGTTGGCTTGAAGATTGTTGAACATTTGATGCGGAATTTCGCCTGAAATAGAGATAAATACTAATTTAGGTTACCTAATTATAAAAATATAAATTATTATAACAAACAAATTTGTTACCACAAGTGAAATAGAAGCCATAGAAGTAGACTTATAGAAGTAGCACGAATAAAGACTTTTATTAATCACAATTAATAAAATTAAAATAAATAAAAATATTAATGCAGTTTTGTCAAACTATCCTAGATAATGTTATTAAAACATTAGTAATATATTATAACTGTTTAAACATAAGTATCAAGATTGTCTGGATTGCACCTAACCGATGACAATCATCCTTTTTTTACTTGAATGCATTAGCGTAACTAGCAATTTATCCTGGGGTGGGCCTGGGGGGCCTGGATTGAGCCCAGGGGGGGCCTAGGGCTTTTGTTTTTTTCAAAAATGAAATAATTTTAAAAAACTCGTTTTTTGAATAAAACGTTAACATGCATTTCTCTATCAATAAATTTCATAGACTTGGTTATCAAACCGTGTTCCCGTAGATTACTTTTATCCTGGATTTTCTAAAGACCTACAGATTTTCTAAAAAAATAAAAATTAACACACTTTTTGAACACAACAAAATAATATTAACTAAACAAAACTAGAAAACGTCATTTTTACTGCATCACAAGCAAATAAAAATTAATACAAGAGTCATAATTCAGGATTTCGCTGGGGGGTGCCCAGCAGTACCTGGGGGAGGCCCGACACCCCCAGGCACCCCTGTAGTTACGCCAATGTTTGAATGTGGTAGACAATGAATCAGTATTAAAACTGAAAGAATTTCGGACTACCATTGGCTATGAAACAATGGCTGTGACACAATGGCTATGAAATGAATAACGTTCTCATTTTATATGTAAAATTATATGGGGAATGTCATTGATGTTCATTTTCAAGCCAACACGATTCGCATGGCAACGAGAATACCAAAATCAACTGCCTTGCGTTTCGCTGATCGAATACCTGCACTCACCACTTTGAAAGCGTAACGTTTTTATGTCAAAGTTACAGAATACGGGCCCCAGAAATGGCTCTGAATGCCTCTTCTTCAATGTCAGAGGTTATACTTCCCGAATCGCTCATTTTTTAAACTAATGACATCAATATTATTTACTGTCATATTGACATTGCCATGCATGGTGTTATTTGAACAAAGGTATTAAGGTAATTGACTTTTAGGATAGATATATAGTTAAGTACAATAATTTTTAAAATTAATTGTGTGTTTTTATAGTTAAACGTAGAAAAAATATTGTACAATACACGCCAGTTAACTCCATTAAGATAATTTCACACGCGTATCTTAATGAGGCTGTTAACGCACTGATATTGTAAATATCTATTACCTAATTTATTATTAAGTATTATTACTATTAGTTATTATTACTATTAGTCCAACCTACAGCAATTTCAAATAAAAAAATACTGGTATTTAAGATAATTACAAAAAAAACTGATTTTAAAAAGTTTTAACATCCTTTAACTCTAAAACTATGCATTTCCATACCCATGTTTATAGGAACTTTTTTTCATATTTTTTGACGAAGAATACTTATTTAAAACTTTCTCAAGTTAATGATATTAATTTTTTTAAAGGTTTCTATTAGACTTGGAAAGGCAAATTAATAAAATTGCGTTTATCTCATCAAGGAGGCCGAAATAGACAAAATACCAAGAGGTAACTTTTAATCGGCATTAAACTGCTTACACCATTTCGCTAACAAGAGAAAAAAAAAGTCAGTGGCGTACATGCTTTTTTTAAAAAAAATATTCCTGGTGAATATGTCGACATATTTTTAGCTTTAAAATATGTCGCATTTATAGTAACTTTTACCCTCAAAATTTCATTCGAAACGCTAAAAGTAGTTTAAAGAAAATTACAATAAATCGAAAAAATATTAAGAATTTAACACCCTGTAGTTACGAAACAAAGCAGAATCGGACCTATGTTGATATGAAAAATAAATCTTATTTTTACGTGAGGAATCCCCCCCACGAGAGATGGCACATTTTTTTTGAAACACCCTGTATATTTCAAACATCTTAATTTTGATCTTAGTAAAGTGCAATAATTGAAACTTCACTGTTTTTTGTGGAGTTTTGTGATTTAGGCTATCGAAAGATGCGTACAATTTATCCTAGATAGGAACTATAGAAAACAGAAAATTGGCATCCTATCCGATAGTCAAGCAGCACTAAACGCGATCGACTCAGTAACCATCAATTCGAAGTTGGTCAAAGAATGCCTAGAGAAGCTCAACAAATTAGGCAAAGAAAATAAAGTCCTCCTACTCTGGGTGCCTGCTCACCAAGGGATAGAAGGCAATGAAAAAGCAAATGATCTAGTTAGAAAAGGAGCGAACACTTCAATAACTGGACCACAACCGTTCTGTTTTCCAAGCGGAAAACAACTGAAAGCGGAACAAAAGAATCTAGAAAACATCCGTAATCAGGAATGGGTGTCCTCCAACGATTTAAGACTCTCGAAAGTTCCTCAGAAGGTACGACCGAGAAAAATCAAAGGTTTTCCTTGATTTAAGTAAAAACATTCTTCGGACTATCACGGGGTTTCTAACAAAACACTGTCTCCTCAATGAATACCTCAGTAGGCTGAAGCTGAAAAACAACGGCGAATGCAGATTCTGTGGGGAAACACCTTATCACTAAGTGCGCCGAGACGACGACCATTCGTGCCATGAATTTTGGCACGGCTGATGTCGAGGACGGAGAGCTGGCCTCTGTGGAGCTGTCTCAGATACTGGCTTTTGTTAGCTGAGTTATAACGTTATAACTCAAGAAAGGGGAACACACAATAGATTTGTAAGGTGGCGGTGATTAACTCCCCTCCTAAACATTCTACGACACCTGCGTCTATGCATTATTTTTTGCAGCGTGGGCAACTCCTAAAAATTCTGAGCACGCGTCGCAACTTTTGATGTTGCACGCAGTAAAGATATACTACATGTTGACGAGCTACGCCAGGCAGTTATGGAGGGCAGGCGTATTCAGATGAGGATTCGTTGAGCAGTTTTTCGTACTGCAAAAGTAGTTGTGTCTGACCTTAGCTTTAGTACCGCCGTATGATCGAAAAAAAAACGGCGTCCAGTTGGCTGGGAAATGACGATCAATGACATTTCCCATATACATTTACCTATAAAATGACAGCGATCTTTAGTTCATAGCCATCGCTGACGCCGTTTTTTTTCGATCATACGGTATAAGAATAGTACTTCACTCTTTCCTTAGTCTTTTTATTCAATGATTTATAAGCTATTATAAAATATGTAAATTAAAAAGAAGTTGATATCAAATTTTAGGATGTAGAATGCGCTGACTCGTTATTACGTTCTAGCTCGTTAAGCGTCTATTAAAACCAGAAATTTATTTGGGCATGTATTCCATGCAAATAAGCAACGGATTTATGTGTATGATATTAGTTTCTAGGCCGTCGATAGATAGAGCCGTGGCTTAGGCTCAGTAATTAAAATGATATTTAAATTTATTTGCATAAAATTTCACCATTATATTACATGATCCTATTAAATGATATCCAATACTGCTATGTAATCAGTAGACCAGTAATTTGTACGTTGAATATTGAATATGGTTTAGCTCAATAACTTAGTAACTGTAACATTATTCCAGGCCAGTCCAGGACAGGACAGTTTACTCGTTATAATTCCGTTTTAATATATTCTTTTGATGATAATAATGTTATTTAATAATTAATTTATACCCTCAAATCCAAGAATTATACTTCTTCAGCTAATGATAAACTGCCGATGGACAAATGCCATCCAGTTCAAGAGGACCCAGTCCAGGACAGTTTACTCGTTATAATTCGGTTTTAATATATTATTTTGATGAAAATAATGTTATTTAATAATGAATTTATACCCTCCAATCCAAGAATCATACTTCTTCAGCTAATGATTAACTGATGATGGACAAATGCCATCCAGTTCAACAAGACCCAGTCCAGGACAGTTTTCTCGTTATAATTCGGTTTTCAGCGGCACTTCAGCGGCGCCAAAATGCACCAAATTCAAACAAATACATAAGGCATATACGTGAATGCTACATACATATAATATGAAATAGAATATATGTTTAGTTTTTTTTTCTTAGGTTCTGGGTCCGGCAAAAGTGCGTCGGGTATCTGTAGCTCCTAGAATAAACAACTTGGGAATTTTGTGTGCAAATCTAAAGTATGTATTACGATGTATTTCAGGAAAATAACTTAACCTCTACAGGGCGACTCAAAAAAGTGTGAGTGGATCAGGATGATTTTTTTAAATGAAACACCCTGTATTATTACATTTTTGGCTTCCTTTCTGACCACTTTACAGAATCTTAAGGTCTTTTTATATAAGTTTTCATAGTTTCAGTGATATTAATAAATTTAAAAAAAATATTTTTTTCAGCCTTTTAAAAAAATTATTAAAAATACAAGAACTGTCCTGAAATCAAAACTATATTAGGTGTTTACTTTACATGGTCTGTAGTTACTTTGCTATAAATATTGTTATCTTAAATCATACAGGGTATTGAAAATTCTACGCCAAATTTTCTAAAATATAAAATAATTTTTCTTCGTTATTTTAAATGGAACACCCTGTATATTATTCTTTTAGTAGATGGAGAATTAAACAACAAACATTTTCTGTATTTAGAGTATTTCAAAATTTTTAACGGCTTCGCAGATACTCGCGATATTATTTCATAAATATGGCTCTTTCAACGGTAAAATACGAGAGAAAATAAGAGAAAAAATAATTTATTTTAACCTCTATGGAAAAAATCATTGGATGGCTTTGGTAAAAGTTTACTATGGAAAATGCCGTATGAAATATAAAACCGCGAATATCTACGAAACCGTTAAAAATTTTGAAATACTCTAAATACAAAAAAATGTTAATTTTTTAATTCTCCGTTTACTAAAAAAATAATATACAGGGTGTTCCATATTAAGGAAACGAAGAAAATTTATTTTACA